ACATGCCTCCAACCGTAAATCAAACCTATGATTCTTATAGGTCACTTTCACAATATGAATGCATTTAGTAAAAATGTCAAGGTTATATAAACCTTTTTATTACAAGTAATGAGATTCAGAAAAATTTTCAATACATATTATACTCGATGATAAGTTTATGAGTCTTATACATATATAATTTTAAAAAATTACGGTGCAAGTCTTAGAAATACCTCACATAAACATTGAAGAAGGAAAATGAATTATGAAAGGAATGAAATTCTTGTTTTATGATTCAAATGTTTAGCCCTATAATATATATTGCTAACAAGAGAACATAAAAGACCAAAACACACACTTGAATTAACCATACCACTCTCTAATCAAAATTTTCAAAAGAAAATAGTTCCTCTCTCTCACTTCTCAGTTTTACTAATCTTAGTGCTTAAGTTGTGCATTAGATTACTCCAATGACTTGCATTCTTAAGAAAGAAAACATTCTCCAAAAATCATTGCTTCTTCCATGAGATACAATAATTTTTACCAAATTAATGGTTGATTTGTTGTCAAATATAATAGCTTTACAGTTATCTCAACCTTGATTTTCAATTTATGCAATAATTAATCTATCATCATTGCTTAACAAGAAGTAAAAGATCAATGTACTTTGCTTCAAGCATAGATAAAGCTACCTTGGTTCTTTTCTTTCCATCACCAAAACATTGGTGTTCTTTGAACTTCAACAAATATCCAGCAAAACTTCACATACTACTTTCCTCCATTTACCAATTGTTTCTAATCTATAATTTTAAATATACTTATAGTTAGTAATTTGAATATGTTAACACTTTATGCTTTTTCGAATTAGTATGACTTAAATATAATTAACAATTATTTTTAAATGATATATATGTATTGCTTTAAGATACATAACTTTACAATTTTGAGTTATTTACCTCGACATTTTTATAAAAAAAGGCTTAAGTGATATAATTATTTTTTGATTAACTATTTTAATTATAATTTTTAAATTCTGTTACTACATTTATCATATTACATATCGTGCTATTAATTTTCTATTATATCTTAAATTGTTTTCAATTACGAATTAAGCACAAATAATAGTTAAATATATGTGAGACATTTTCTATACTAATTATGGTGTTAGTTAAAAATAAATTGTTAAGCATAAAATTATCTAAAATAAATATATTATCATTGTCTAGAATATAGTATATAATTAATGAACAAAATTTGAATATGGTAATGATTTTTTGTGTTACACATCGGAGAACAATTTTTTTTAACATTAGAGATACGATAACAACTTTTATATGAAAACAATTTATACTTGTAAAAGAAATTAGGCTAAAAAACTTATTTCCTGTTCATTTATATAATGATTTAAAAAAAAATGGTTTATAATATGTTAATATTAAACAAACTTGTTCCTATTGTTTTTATCTAATATATAATTTTTGTCTATGCAAATATAAGTATTCTTAATGACATAAAATGTTACATGTCAACATTTCAATGACATATTTATATTGATAATATTTCATTTTCTTTTCAGTATATAAAATCTTAAAACTAAGAAAATATACTAAATTTGTTATCTGAAATTTCATTTGTGTTTTAAATTGCTCATTACATAATAAATAAGTATGAAAGAGTGAAAAACTTTAAGAAAGGGTTAAAATATAATTTTTTAAAAATTTCACAAATAAGTGTTTAAACGCTTTTATAAAAGTTAGACAGTTCGTAATTAGTGTTAAACACTTAAGTATTTTCAGAAGCTTTAGAAAAACCTTTAAAATGAAAGAAATAAGAAAAGTTTGTTTTTATAATAGTCTGCTTCAATCTGAACTACGTCCAGTTTTTCTTTAAGTACTCTTCAAGGGATACACTATTACAAATGAATTTAACCACTCCTAGTTTTACAACCAACCCAACTGGTTAAACGAGTTTTACCACTCGTAGTATAACACTAGTCCAACTAAATGTTTAACTTCACTGAGTTAAACTTAACAAGTGTTTTAATTCACTTATGAATCTAAAAACATCAAAGTGTGTTTGAAATATAAGTACAGAAGATTACTCTTATAAAGAGGATATGAAATCAATACAATGAGGTTCTAAAAACTTGTAGAGAAAACTTTTATTTTTCAAAGACAAAATCTAGATGACGTGAGCTTGGAGAGAAAACAACAATGTAAGTGTAAACAAATATACTTCTTATTCTTGTCCGTCCTCTTTATATAGACTTTTCCGAAAAAAGATTCATTACTCTGAGCATTGATTTTCGTGTAGGGATATAGTCTTTTAGTAAGAGGTTAGATGTTATATTGCCTCTTGTAGAGATAATTATGTTGTTTGTACGGAGGAGACAAACAAAAAGCATGAAAGAAACATTCATAGAATATCTTCGTATCTATATGTTCTTCTGATTTCTTGCAAACTTTCGAATAAAACTTTGTACTGAATTGATATGCATAAAAAAAAAGAGCATAACACAACAGACAAAAGAGTACCAACATGTACATGTATTAAAAGCCTTAAACGACCATTAACATTTAGACATTATATGTGAATCAATATTTAGACGTAGTTTATTCAAGTAATGTTAAGTGTTTAAGATATCTTTCAATTATTGCATTTAACGCTTTTATCTTGAATAGTTTATTTGTTAAATGCTATTTCACTATTGTTAAATTTCAAAACAAAGCTTACTTAAGCAAATTTTTTGTTAACAAAGTATTCTATAATTATTATATCCATGGAAATCTAAATAAAAAATAAAAAATACAAGACCAATTACCATCCAATCCTCATATATTTGATCACCAAAATTGCTCTCGATTTTTATATTTTTATGTTGCATATCACTAATTAAGGTTTGTTATAGGAGGATGAGATCCAAGTTAAACTCTTATTAACTTTCTTTTGATTGTTTCGAAGAGTTAACAAAAGTCAGTTTTGCTAATCAATTTGTAGAGAAAAGTCATGCAATTGACTTTTACATATGGACTTACCTAAAAGAAGACTTAATCTCTATCCTATGAATGTTAATCTATAATTATGTTGAAGGTCTAAAATATTCTAATGTTACATGAAACACTTCTATAATATATATGTAAGTGATAAAAAAATGTGCTTGTAGTCTACAAAACTATATAAGTTAGATATAAAAAACAAGTGTGATAAAAGGATGAAATCATAAAGTCACACAGAAAGATGAATATTGTTATAAAATGTCAATGTTAAAGAAGAAAGAGAGGAAAATGATAGTAAATTGTTACCTATTTGATAAATGATTATAAAAGAGAAAAAGTAAAATAGTCACATATTATAACGGATTAAATATCAAAATTGTATGCTCGATGCATTATAGGAAAAATGTAGTATTTGATGTTATAACTTTTAAGAGATGGCTATCAACAAATTTCTGAGTAACTAGATTTAGATATTTATTATAAGCACTTGAAAATAAATTTTCAATAAAACCGGCGATTTAAGAGACCGATAAAATTTGTTTTATTATTAATGTACTGACTGATTAATTACAGGTAATTTGCTAAAGACCCTTTTTAAAACATTAATCAGTTATGAAAATCCAAATAATTGATAATTTTATTAAATCGTTTGCATAATTATTGCATGCGATTCCAATTTTAACACGTGGTAGATTCCAGACACGTTTCGTAGGTAAATAATCAAAGTTAGAGGCCAGAAATAAAACTGATCTTTAGGATCTTGATGGTAATTAATGGTGTTTATGTTGTACTTAACGAGTTAAGCTACATGTATTGACACATGTCGTGGTCGGAAAGGTTTCACGCTTGAAGGGTAATGGAGGTCACAATCATTTTGTTTCTTTCATGCACCAATTTTTCTGTGGTTGAGTGTGTAAAAGTAATATGCTGTAAGTCGTAACTACTACTCAATCATTGGATGTTGTTGACCAAGTGTGTTTAAGAGAAATTTTAAAAATAATAGTAACAGTAGCTAAAATGCCCCATCCTACTTATTTAACTTAACTATAGTCAAGTGGGTTTTAAATTTTTATTAAATATCTTCAATACATTCAAGAGCCTGAAAACAACATTAATATATATCAGATTTTTTTTAGATTCTCAAGTAAGTTTTTAATGTACCATGCCCTGCTATATTATTTTTTGTTTTTTAAACTACAATGATAGCTAATAGTCTTAAGAGTTAAAGTTAATGATACTTTAAATATATTTTGCTCTTTCAATATATGCTATTTTTTTAAAGTTAAAACGGACAACACTTTAAAAAATAATTAGATTGTACATTTACTAATATTTAAAATTACATGATAAATAATAATAGTGCCACAGGAATGAATGATTGAATTAGTAGAGTGACTTTTTAATAAGAGTGATGAAAAGATTAGGCTATTTTAATGAATTTGATACTTAACATCCCTTGACATATTGGCTGGCTATAGAGATCTTTTTTTTTTTTTTTTGATGTATGCAATTGTGGTTGTGTGTTGTGATGAAAACGAAACAGCAAAGATTCCAAATGTCTAAGCACGATTGGGTTTAGACAACGCATTACAGCCCCAAGTACCATCGTTGGTAGCACAAAATTCCTTTATCCAACTCACTCTTTTCCTTCATCATTCTTCGATTTATCGTATCGTATTGTTAATGTTGTCATGCCATAATTATCATTAGAGGTCTTAATTAATCAAATAAAAATCTTTCAGAGGACCCAATGCCAATGCTAAAGTTAAGTACAATGTTATTCTCGCCGTCAACTTTTTAAAGCTTTGCATCTGTTTAATACCTCCTTCATTTAATTACCACTCCCACCTATATTTATCTAACCAGCTAAATTCTTCACTTAAAGTGGACTATTAATTTTATGTGGCAATCAATTTAGCATTACACGTGTAATTATTAAATAGAAAACATAGGTGTCGTGTTAGTTAATGTTAATATTTGATGTAATTAATTAAGATAGATATAGATGTTTGACCCCTGGGCAAGGGGACGAGTCAGGTAGTACCAAGATTGAGGACCTCGATCCGTGTGCGGTGTTTGAGAGTATGAACAGTTAGAAGGAATTCTAATTATAATTCTTGCTCCGCAAACGGAGGGGACAATGAAAGAAACGACACAACTACCAAGTTGACTCCTTAATAATATCCAATCATGGTGACACGCCTTTTGTTGTTGCCTCAAGAAGCTGCACACAAAACTTGCTTTTTCCGATAACATCTGTCACCCTTTTGGATATTCCATCTTCTTACATTATTTTTAGCAAATTGCCAGTTTAAGAAAAAACAAATATCTTTTCTGTTTTCATCGTTGCCAACGATTTTGCATCTGGTGGGGTTTCATGGAGGAGGTTTGATGCCATCATTCCTCTCCCAGTAACCACATATTCCACCTCCTGGGTTTTGATTTTGATCCTTCCGAGGTTGAGGTTGGGGTTGGGGTTGTGGATTTTCATGCTTTTTGTTAGATTGATAGATATATTCTGACGTGGGTTGTGTAATTTGGAAGGTGGGTTAATGCTCAATGGTTATCCCTCCAATCATTTTTTGAAAGGAATAGTTGGAAGTTGGTGTCAGATTCACAGTACCCGCTTCTCAAATTGAAATAGAATAGAAATTCTACCAGAGGTATAAGGATATATATATTTTTTTTTATGTATTGTAAAATAATTTTGTGTTTTTGTTCGGTTTCTCGAAGTTCACGAAGGGTTGAACCAATTTGTAAAAAAATGTTTTTTAATATTTAAATGAACAGTTTTAAAGTTGGCAATTCATTGGTTGCGCAGACTCGAAGAGTTGTGGACAAAACTACCGGAACCTGTTTTCCATATCTCTCGAGAATCATGTGGGGCTTTGAATGTTACAACCAATTCTTTCGAATGCGTGAGGAATTCTGATTGAGTTGTTGCTGTTGTTGGTTTGGTAGATGGAATGAACCTTTGACAGAGAACAAGATCTGTCCAAATCAGAATGCTGGATTGATGATCTCATGTCGGGGGTGTTTGTCCAAGAGATAAATTGGTGCCTTTTGGTGAAGCTGTGAATAGACCCTGCTTCCGATTTCCTGAATAGCTAGTTAATCGTGTTGTGGTTTTGATTTGTGAGGGATATGAAGTTTCTGAGCCTGGTGGGGAATTCTTTTGGTTGTTCTGCATCTGGTGAGCGCTTAGTTTCTGCTGCAAGAGATGGCGATGTTCAAGAGGCCAAAGCCTTGTTGGAATATAACCCCCGTCTTGCAAGGTATTCCACTTTTGGTGTTCGCAATTCCCCTTTGCATTACTCTGCCGCTCATGGCCACCATGAGGTACTTTATTCAATACACTCCATCTCCTCGTATTATGTTTTGCAATTCTTTTCAAAATATCAAATGTGTTTTTGTGTTAATGTAGATAGTGTATCTCTTGATTGAATCCGGAGTTGATATCAATCTCAGAAATTATCGCGGTCAGGTAATCCATGTTTTCTAATGTCTCTTAAATTCTATTCACAGTATTTACATGTCACATCACATGGCAAATTTTTGCTGCTTTGGATTATAGAAAGGGCCATTTCTTTTACTTACTTTTCACACTCTATAACATTAACAGACTGCATTGATGCAAGCTTGTCAACATGGTCACTGGGAGGTGGTGCAGACCTTGACTATTTTTAGAGCCAATGTATGATCGGACTTTCAACCAATTTTGTTCCATATGTTGCTGACAATCAGATAAATTCTTGAGTTGTAAGTGTAAAACGTTGGGTGTTAAATTTGATTGCAGATCCATAAAGCTGATTACCTAAATGGAGGAACTGCCCTTCATTTGGCTGCTTTGAATGGCCACACCAGATGCATTCGGCTAATCTTGGCAGACTATATACCAAGCACCCCTAACTTCTGGAATGCGTTACAGACAGGTGATCATAAATCAATCGCAGAATTTGATCACAGGTACTCTGTCTCTCACTCAAAGGTCTAATGGCTTCTTCCGCTGTAGCAATGAGTTAATTTTATCTTTAAATGGTTGCACACAAAGTGGTCTTTGCGAGGTAATTAACAGAACTTCTGATGGAGGGATCACTGCTCTGCATATGGCAGCATTGAATGCGCATGTTGAAAGTGTACAGTTACTCTTAGACTTGGGAGCTTCTGTGTCTGAGGTTACTGTGGAGGATGGAACTACCATTGATTTAATTGGTAATTGATTGGCATTTGTTTCATAGTGTGGTGTGAAATATTTGCTTTGGAAATTCACCAATATGTATAAGTAGATTAGCTTTTCCACCATTATGAAAACTGCACTTCTGCTGCTGCTTTCTCTAACTAAAAACACCAGTTGATTATTTCTCGTTAATAATTTCAACATTTCCATTTCTGTTTCCTAAATGGCTTCAGATTTGGTTGGTTGACTGAAAATTAGCCGGTGAAAACTTTACATAAAAATTGTTACAATTGTCTAGGGCAATAAAAATTGGAGAAGCTGGAGCTAAATTGCAACTCAATTACATTCTATTTCCACAATTGGTCATCTCTCCTAAAGATGGAAATGACCTTTCACCCGCTTGAAAATGAAAGTAGTTACATATCATTCCACATTATTTTCTCCATCTTTTGAGCTTTAGCAGTAGTGACTGAGTGGATTTCTCCCTCTTTCATCTCTTTTTAAGTCTCATACGTATGGTTGAGTCAGCGGTATCAAGCATAAATTTATTAAATTCTATTTGGGTTATGAGAAAGTTGATCCCCATCAAGTCATCATGTTGCCCCCCTCCCCGTTAGAGTTAGTTTAAACACTCTGTAAGTTAGTACGCAGCTTAAAAGATATTAAGAAATTTAAACGTATGATAGTAAGTTTGAGCTAATTTAATCAGTTTTACCTCTAATAATTGCTGTTTATACTTACTTTGCAGGTTCCGGAAGTACTCCACTCCATTATGCTGCATGTGGTGGAAATGCCCAATGCTGTCAAGTGTGTTTCTATTTTCCTTTAGAAGATAACTATACTTTTGCAACTGAAAATATATTATTCAACCAAATGAATCTGGTACCAGCATACTGAAGTTCCTTTCCTTTTTAACTTTTTTGTTGTTTGGTTCAGCTGCTGATTGCCAAGGGTGCCGATGTGACTGCCAAGAATGCGAACGGGTACATCTAAATGTCTCTGTTACCTTTTGATATGTGATGATTTTATCCTACTCACTCTCTACGATAGCAAGATATTAATATTTTGGTCCTATAGTCGATGGAAAAATTATCGCTTTCCTAAAGCAGCCAAACAACTCCCGGCCACCTTGTCTTCTATTTTTTAAAAATCTTATACTAATACAATCTATAGCCCCCCTTTCCTTTGAGCAGAAACTAAAGTTTATTCCTGATTATCTTGGTCATTGATATTTCTGAATTATTGTGTTTTATTTGATGAAGTTATGTCCTAAAAATTAGCCTCGTATTTTTTTTTCTTTGTTGATGATAGTAATTGAATTTTTCACTGCTTATAATGTTGAAGTTAAATGGCAGTTCATCTTGACATTCTGAATTTTAGTATTATCCGTATGACTTGGATTTGCAAGAGGCTCATCTTTTTCATTACAATCTGAATCGGATAATATTGTTTTCTGACTGCATTCTTTTGAAGAATCCTTTGGTCTCTACGGATAAAAGACAATTGAACCTACCAGAAGTGTAGTAGTGCCCGTAATCCTATGTTGCATTTGAATAAAGCAAGCAAAAAGTTATGCTGTCGAAAGAACTTGTTTGTCAATGATGGGTGTATAACTTTTTGGTTTACTTCTATGATTTTTGTTTTGAAGATGGACACCCTTGATGGTTGCTCGTTCGTGGCATAGAAACTGGCTTGAGGACATCTTAAAAACACCTCCAGAAGAACCCCTACAAGTTCTTCCATCTCCATATTTATCTCTTCCTCTTATGAGCATTGTGAGAATTGCTAGGTGTGTGTTTTAGCTCTATATTCTCTTATCCATTCTTCAACTATTTTCTTCCTACCGAAGTGTATGATATTTGGTGCTATCTCCTATTCTCCTTATTCGGAGAACCGATTGAAAACTTTTGTTTTCCTAGGAATTAGCATCAATATATTTTCATAAGCATAATTCTTTTAATCTGTCCAGTCTGCTCTGACTTCAAATCAACTAGCAGGTGATTTGTCTTATCATGCTTTGATTGCGGTGTCTGTCTGGCCTGATTCTTCAACACTATTGATGGAAATAATTTATATTTAACCGGTGATTTTATGTGATTATGTTTCTAACTACTAACGTTACGTGTTTTTTGGGTTCAATAATTTCATTTTGACATCCAGCGTCATAGACGTAACTGGGAAACGTGGTTTGGTCTGCTCATAGCTAGCGCCGAATTCGGGATATATTTGGTCAAACTGTCTTTATTTTTCTACGAAACAATTTACCCCATATTATACACGCAATGAATTGGCTTACGTTATGTAATTATTAATATTAGTTTGTTTCATGAAACTACACATATTTATTAATGAGAACATTTTTTCACAGCAAATACTACATCTTGAATTACAGAGCAAAATGAGTATACATTTTTATCAACACTTGATTTGGTTTATCCCGTTAACTCTACCCCAAATAGGGATGTTCCAACGATTTCTAATATGCTCCTCCTCTCCTTTTGCTTCTGTTGTGATCTTCCTTGACAGAGAATGTGGATGGAGGACGAATGAATTAGCACCAGCATGCTTAGATCCATGCGCTGTTTGCTTGGAAAGGAAATGTATGGTCGCTGTCGAAGGTACATTCCTCTTAAATGGGCAATCAAACATCTGTTCTTTGTCTAGTATTAATGCTGGATCCATGGTATACAATTAGATTCCTTGCAATTGGTGTCTGGAATGATTTATCCTTTTCAGGCAAAAAGGGTTGTGTTATGTTTAGAATTTTGCTGCGAAGCAATTTTATTGTTTAGGTAACATCACATTTCATTTTCTTGTAATAACTGAAGTCGTTTCGTTCTGATTAACATGGTTACACATATGAAGGGCCGGTAGCTCGCCATAAACAATATATGAAGGTTCACATGCATGTGATATTCCAATGTGCTATAGAAATTAAAATCGGATATAAGACTGCCATCGTTTCATGAATTCATCTCGTTTTGTAATAGGCCTGCCTTAACTCTTTTTCTTTATGCAGTTATTTTGTAGTTTATAGATACAATAATAGCCTCGAGATACTGTTTATATATCATGTTGTTTCATGCATAAATTCCTACATCATCATATGGTGGTGCATGCAGGTTGTGATCACGAGTTCTGCACACAATGTGCTTTATATCTTTGTTCTACGAACTCTACTTCATCAACCACAAGTTCCCCCCCAGGTTCAATTGCTTGCCCTCTCTGCAGGCACGGTATAGTCTCATTTGTGAAGCTTCCAGACGCAAGGCCCCTACAGAAGGAAATGCAAAGGCCATCAAATCTGTCACTGGCATTTTGCACTTGTTCAAGTGAAGTATTGGAAGATTCCACTGACATGACCACCCCATTTTGCAAACCAACATCACGTGGGTCCAATACTTCTTCCGTTTCAAGAACATATCGCTCCAAGAGCTGCCAAGCGATCCCCTCATTCAAAATCAACCCCAGCCTTTGCTTGGGAGCAGAAGTTAGCTCCTCTTTAGTCCCTTGTAGTGTGAGCAGGAACGTGAGGAGCCACTTGGCGAGGTGTTCCAGTTTAAGACGATCATCTTCTCAAACAGAAAGAAGGAAATCATGGTTTTGTTCCCTCAATCAATCTGTTGCCACAGGCAGTGGATGCTGATTACATTTTGGTCTTTTCATAAAGCTTTTTCTTTGTGTCACACCAACGTAAACAGTATCCAACGTTATATTCATCATTTCAAATATCATTCACTGTTCAACAACTATTTAGCTTGTATATACCTTGCCCATTTGTTCAGCTGGGGCAAGCGTTACTTTTTTGGCAACATACATAAAAAAATTCAACCAGATTCATGTTTGATGCATGTAAATGAAACTGATATAAGGAATTTCGTGGCTTATCATTACTGAATAGCAACCAGTGAACTAGCTAAAGCACAATCCAGTATTTTGTGATATATCTTACGTAGTGCAGATACCGTATGAAGTTTGGACCAACGAGTGGTCTTTGCACATGGAGAAGGCTACAGGTGATGTTAGGGGCACGTCACACTTTCATTAAAGTTTGGCTAAGGGGTCAGAAGCTCAGAACCTAAAGGACATTGACGCCTTAATTCAGTTTTCAGTAAAACAATAAATCCGTGCCAGCAGGACTTACGAATTATGAGTAATTGGACCCACAATCCCACGTGCAGATATTTATTGTCGCCTTTGAGTAGCCTCTTCTCGCAGAAATTCCAAACGAAAACAAGGTAATGCCAAACATACAAGGATATTGTTAATTAGTGTCCAGAACTCTTTCGAATGAAATCCTTTGTTAAAAACTATGAGAATATTCCACACAACTTGTTATCAAAACTATCGTTATACAATAACACATACAGTGGTTAGTATTTGCCGCTTATTAATTAGACGAAAATAATATCAAGATGTTTACCGTTTGACATTTAGGCTCTCTCCATATACGCGTTCATATCTTTTTACTAATATCTTCTCCATGTACTTACTTCCTCCCTAACTTGTTATTATTTTCTATTTCCATCACCAAGACCTATTACAGAAGAGACGCCAAACGCTCACTCTCCTTAATCAAAGGTTATAACTAATTAACTAGCAGAGATGTTTGTGTTTCAGGTCTTAACCAATTTCACTGAAATACGATTTTTACCAAATTCAAAGGACATGTTAAAGTCTGTATCGCCACTCTTCAGTAGAAGATTACTTTTCTTTGGGCTAAAGAACACAGAAATGTAATCTGCAATAAGCAGTCATCTCGAAAATTGTAAATCTAAATAGAAAAAAATGTCAGGTTATATATTTAGAGCGTGCAACTTCAGCTTAAATGTAAAACTAACACACGAGAAGGATCATACAAAACAAATCTATTTGCAAACTGTGTCTCGTCTTAGAATAACAACAATTACACTAAAACATACATTTGCAATTGCATCAAAAGCTCAGGAGGAATAGCTCAGAAATATTAAGATGGAAGGGACTGACGTGATGAAAATAAAATAAAAAAATAAAAATAAAAAAAAGAATGATCATCCTACGTAACAAAAATAAAAAAAGTCTTGCAAGGTCAAGAAAAAATAAAATAAAAAATAAAAAAGAAAAAAAAAAAGCTCAATCAGGATATCGCCATTAAAATGGTATCTCACGCTTGGTTCTGGATAAGGTGGAGGTGTAGAGAAGGCGAAGGAATCTTGTTGCATGCAGTCCAGTGCGACAGTGGAAGGAGATGCTTGATGGCATTTGCGGGAGATTCTTGAGGGAAGAGCATATTGAGATAGAAGTGACAAGTTTGTAGAAAGGTTAAGTTAGGAAAAGGTGATATTCATAGGAGTAGGGGTGATATGATATAAATGGGCAAGTGGTGGTGCATGATGAGAAGATTGATGGAGTTTATATAGTGAAAAGAGAAGGGGAAATAAATGAAAATAAGGGAGTACTGACATTCCAAAAATGTTGTTGTTTCAGTGAAGTTTGAAGAAAAAGGAAGAGGTTAGTGGACCCAAAAACTGTGGATTAATTGATTCAAAAAACCCTTTTTCCATGTTGTAGGTCTGTGTCTCTGATCCCTCCAGCGAGAAGTCTTGATTATAAATCAGATAAAATGGCGACTGATTTGAGAGAAGAAAGGATAAAGTACAGGGCAGTGACAAGCAACGTGACTCAACCATATTTCTCTTCTGTTCTCTAATCTTTTACCTCCTCACTCACGTAAATTCAAAAGCATATATACCAAGCATGGGAATTCGGACTCAAATTTCCAATAAAGGGAAACAAGTTAAAACAGTATGGGGCCTGCATTCAATTCTCTCACAGGGTAAAAGTGAAAATCAAGCATGTATATAATTTTTAACATTTTCCTCCCTTTACTTTTTTATTTATTATATTTCCATTCCTTTTTATTCACATGTCAAATATTATTTAAACTTCTATATCAAGATAAACATAATACTACTATTTACAGTTTCACACACTATTCCCTGCAAATCACCTCACACGCTATCTTCGTTAATCAACCATCAAATCACTTTAACTACCGATTATATTCCATTTTTCAATTACCAATAATTCATTATAGTTCCTAACTTTAGTGCTAATCATACAACATATATCTTTAACTAACGTCTTTCATACTTATAGTTTATAGTCTACAACATACACCTTAATACACAAGTATACATGGGACGACCAATATTGTTGACTAAATTTATATGCCACGCATGCATGGGCACAAATCCGGAAATAAATTTGTACATCTGTTGCCGACATATGAAATATATTCAAATTTGAATGTTACTTAGGTAACCTGAATAATATTTCTTGAACATTGTGGAGGAAAATTAATCTAATGCTGATAGTCAGTAAAGAGAAGAAGAAAATCCTTATGGTCACCAAGACTTTTTTGTTCCCTTCAAATCTGTAGAAGCAAACTGCGTTGACATCTACATGCACTTTTCAACCCTCAATACTAAATTTTGTATGCAATTTAAATTCGTTGAAAATATCAGCACCATTCTTTTTAACCAGTTTTATGCTCTGATTTCTTTTTAATTAATTGAAATGAAATTGTACTTATAAACGTGAATTTAGGATATTCCAATTTATATTGAAGTCGCCTTTATAGATATGCTTTTATTTCTTATATTTTTGTTCAGGGTGATTTTTTCTAAAACTTGAAAAAAAATGTCTATACATTTCAAATAAGCGAAATAAAAATGTTTATCAAGCCAAAATAAAAGTTATTATCCCGGTAACTTTCCATTAAGATAACGAAGGTGGAACACTATAACATTTTAATTCCAACCAATTCTGGTTCACCATTTATTTTTAATTTTGTTCATCTTTATTTTAAACAAAAACAAAATTTAAATTATCGAAATTTAAATAAAAATCACCGTATAAATAAAATAACATTAAATCGAGCTTACCACGATTTTATTTTAATTCTTTGAACAAAATTAAAAATCGTATATGCATATAGGATTTATATATATATGTTTATTAAAAAAATCATAAAAAGGGTTACATATGCATATATGAGTTCTTAATGAAAAGAATCCCTTGTATATGGTTTTGTCAATAAATATGTGAAGTGGCTGATATTATATTTTAGTTCCACTGCTTTTACTTACCACAATGACTTTACATAACCTCACTCTCGAAAAGGATTTGCAAGCATGAACTTGGAGTTTTCACCCAGACACTGCATCTAAATCAAAATACAGTGAAATCTCATTACGATACTTTAGAGCAAGAATAGTTAGTATTTATCCTTCACTTCTTATATCTACAAAGTCTTATTAGCATGTTATATTAGCCCTTCATCTGATACAGTATTGGGAGTCCTACTTACAACTTTCTATTACCAAATTCCCTTATTTTGCAGTTTATGAGAGGACCTCTTTTATTGCAAAAATAGTTTCCACCATTGTATGCGTAAAAATTGATCTGTGATTTCTACTGAAATTATGATTCTAGAATTTTCAAGTAAAACTAAAAAACAGCAAAATAAAATGAAGGTTGTGGTACGTATATAGTTGGGAAAAGCTATGGGATGGGGAGTTAGGGTGACGAAAAAACATGACACAGCTTTGCACGCAAAGCTGGTTACCTCTGCATTGGGCCTTTCTCTTCTTTTCTTGTTGATTTTTAATTTCTATTTTCATCTTTTCACTTTGTTCTTTCCCATCAAATGCCACGTTTCATGCCTGTTAGGGTTGCAGCCGTGTGAGGTACAGGGTTTCCAAATACCGATTTTAGGATTTTTGTTGCTATATTTTTTTCCTTACACCAATATATTAGGTATATATAAGTTTTCATACTGATAAATCAATTTTTATTTTAAGTATTTTACATCTTTTAAAATTAATATTTTAGTTTATTCGAATTTCTTTTTATATTTTTTACTTTGTCAATGTCTTTTTAGCCACAATCACCTACCTATTCATTTTGCATCCTATGACATCATATATAGATGTTTTAATACTAATTATTATTCAACACCTGAAATTATGTGTTACGGAGAACAATTTAACAAACATGTTACTGATAATAGAACTAACACAAATAGTATAAAGACTAAGAAAAATTATTGGATAACTAAAACAAGTTATGTATGTAAGAAATCTGCACAAAGAGTTAATCCAATAACTTGTGGCGGTTTTTTTTTTTTTAATTTGTGAGATGTTATACCATGTATACAAGTTTGTAAATAATTATTTTTTACTTGAACTTACAACATTTGGAATACTTGAATAAATGATTTCTAATTTCTTATTAGTTTAACAGTTTCGTGTGAGGGAAAAATATGAGTGAAAGAAAATGTATCAATATATCTATAAAATAAGAGCAAGTAGCCATAGCATTTAATTATAGACCGTCGTATGATGAATTGGTGAGATTAACAGTTATTTTAACCGATTGATATCGAACTCTTTTCTATTCAGATAATACATAGCAACACTATTTTCTTCTGAATTCCTGTATTAAAATGTGTAATTTTCTATTGCATATGTAAAAAAGTAGTTACTTTCAAGGGTTTAACAGTGAAGTTGGTAAATCTGAGTTTTTTGAAGTTATTATATTTTCGAAATGATAAAATGAAGTGAGTGAGACATTATGAAGTGTAACGAATATGGTTAAAGATGAGGAAGATTTGTGGAGGGAGAAGGAGGAATTATTGGAAGGGTGACAGCATGCATGTGATTTTATGTGAAAAGCTCAGCTTGAATTGAATGGAATTGTGGTAACAGTCCATTGAAGAGAGTGACCACTCCCACGTACAAAGGCCTAACCTACCCATCGGATAAATGCTCATCTTCTCATTATTATGGTGGCATTGTAGCAGTAGAGCATAGCATATCAACTAGTAGTTTGAAGAGAGTGTGAAAGAAGT